AGACAGTAAAGAGAGTTAAGTTTTATTTGTTTGGCGTTGGCACGCAAAAGTAATATTACAAATACGTGTACCTTTAACTTGTAAAAATCACATCTTACATCCTCATGATTTTGCAGGTGAGAGGGGAGGGAGAATGCCAACTTCACTCAATAATGATATAGGAGCATGGCACCTTCAGATTTAAGAACAAACTTTAAATATTTACTTACCTTTTTATTTGGCTTAGTATGATATTCATAAAATCTTCTGATGAAAACTCTTTCTTACTTAAATAATTAAAGTGATGACCCTGTACGATTCATTGTAGGTTCAGGGACACAATGTGTGGGGTTATAGGTCATCGGGAGACGGAGCATGCCCTCACGCTAGGTATAATGTACAGCACAGAGGAGGCACTCAACATCAAATTGGTTGACAAGGTCGTACCACAGGACAAGGTCATTCCTGCTGCACAGGAGAAGATGAAGCAGTATCTAAAAATTCCAGGTCAGCACTTCAAATTATATTTAGATATATATTATTTATTAGCATGTCACTTTGTCACCATATTAGCTGTCAAGTCATGGTTTAAGTGGATAATTTAGACACATCAATGTTAGATATATATCTCCATTCTTAAGTTTCATGTATGTCCTGACAACACACCTATTTTCAATGGTTGAAGTAACTTGTCATACACATATTTGAAGATTTTTTTGTAATTGGCAGTCATTATGTAAATAGTTGCTGTCAAGTTAGGTTTTAATGGATAATACCAAGTTAAATTATCTAACATGATATTGATGTAAGCTTGAATTTTTGTTTTGTTAGGGTTTAAATTCCTGGCAATATCCATGGTCATATGAAAACAGTACTTTGGAGAAATAAATAATAGAATTAAAAGGGCTGCAACAATACATAGACATGATGATACTATACATATCACAATACTGTGGTCACAATACATATAGTAACATTAGAAGGAAAGAGAAAAGATATGTCGCAAATTTTTAACGGCAATATTACAACTTTTTTGCCGTCACTAGCCATGTTGGAACCGAGTAAACTAAATTCAGAAACGACAAAATCCTGAAAATATCGTAGGTGTATCGTAACCTCCTAAAAAATATTGTGTACTTTACCGTATTCAAAATATAACGTTACAGTCCTTATACATATAGTTAACATGTTTTCGACTTCAATTGCAATAAATACCCCAAAAAACATCCAAGGAACTCGCTATGTACAGTGGTATAGCAAGTGATACAGGGAAGATTTGAGGTAGTTTTAAAGTGATAGTTACATGGTTTAACCTGCATTTAATACCAATTTTTCAGAGGTTGCCCGCCAGCTCAGCAAAGATTTGATGCGGAGAGAGACTGTAGAGAAGCTAAGACTTCGACGTGAAGATGATGTCGCTGCATTTAAGAACTTTGCTGTTAGAGAGTCGGTACAAAAATCTTTGGGAATGTACTTAGAAATGCTTAAAAAGAAAAGCCAGCAGAAAAAGTGAACAGTGATGAGGGATAGATTATGACTCGCCACAATGAGAGAGGAAGTTACGTTTTATTGCATTTTTCACAAATGTTTATGCCAATATAGTTCATTTTGTTTGGGACAAAAGGTTGGTCTGATGTATGTTCACACTTAAGATTGTATATCCAGACGAAACATGTTTTGATTGGTTGAAGATATTATGACAAAGTTTCATATATTATACATGAAATACCATGTAACCAGTGGTTGTTATGATTCTAATTCACTACGTTCAA